TCCCCCCCCGCTTACTATTATCTTCTTCCATGTTATGTACAATAATCTACATTTAGACTGAAGACTCACTCTCTTCCAAAACATATTTGGGCTATCTTGCAGAGACTTTCTACAGCACTGATATAGTGTAAGACAATCTGACAGGTAAGAGGAACGATCATTACTTTCCGTTTTCCTCACTTCCCCAAGCTTTACAACTGTGCCTTTCAGAAATTCTTCTGCGCTCTTGGTGTCCTTTCACTTCCTCCAGGCAGCGCTTACTGAACTTGAGTGAACTTTCTATATATTTCCCCAAACCACTGTTCCTTTGTATAGAGCTATGTCAAACTGACTCATTCTCCAGCCAGTAGTTTAAAAACAAATCATTGCTAAAACATTAAAAACACCCTACATGCCCTTGTGCATTTTTCATACCAATTTGTACATTTAAATCTGAAGTTGTCTTTTGCTAAAAAATTACCAAAATATTTTAAACACATAAAAATGTAAAAAACAAACAAACAGAAAAACAAACCAAAAACAAAAACCCAGCATAAACATTGCTTGTATAGGCATTGGTTAGAAGAGATTGCTGCACTAAGGAGTATACTCAAAAAATTTTTTCTTTCAGTTTCATGGATTGAAAGGTTAAGGACAAGGAAACTTATTGTGATCTCAACTTACATGCTGTAATAGATGAGCAGGAAGTCTGAAATGCAATTAAAATAAAGCTCATTTTTGGTTACTCAAAGGTGACTGTATAAGTCTGCTACTAAAGAGGCAATTTAAGTATGTAAAGGGAACTTACAAACTGAAAAGAGTATGTAATGAACTTCGATATGAAAACAGCTACTGCCTGATGGCCCCAGGGGCATTATGGAAAGCTGGCACTAACTGAAGTTTTGAATATAGCCCTTAGTTGTATCATATTTATTCAAAATTTAAAAGCTGCCCAGCATGTCGCAAATTAAGTTTATTTTGCAAGCCATCCACTGCCTAAGCGGGCAGTAATACTCAATATGAAACTGCTGAAACTCTGGCGTCTGACGGATTTCATGGAGAAATGAGATTTGAAGGTCCGACTCCAAGAGAACAAGGAGAAGAGGGAACAGAAACAACAACAGTCCAAGGCCTACAAGGAGAAGTCTGGAGAAACTCTTCACAAAGGCATTCACCTCTATGTTGCCCATTAGAAAGTCATAGCTCCACCTAAGTGCTCTCCGAGCTTCTTTCAGTTCTTCCTCCTCTGCAATCAAAAATGCATTTTCATCTGCTTCCAGTTCCTCAAATGAATCTGTATCATCTTTCTCATTCTCTACTCTTGGACAGGTATCAAAGAGCATATCAATCTCATCATCAACAGGAGTGGGCAGCAAACTGGCACTGGGATTGTACACCAGTTCTGAGATGGTTAAAGGTTCCTCTTTCATCTTCTCTTCCTGTTCAATGGCAAGATCAACAGTCTCCCCAGTGTCTTTTACTGGGGAACCTGAAGCCACAGGTACTGAAATCTCATCTTCCTTTGGCAGTTGGATACCTAAAAAAAAGAAGATGAAAATAGTGATCCTAAATTTCTGCTTTCCTGGTGTCAAAAATCAGCCTTCCAATTGTACATACCAGAGGTTGGAAAAATTCTGCAGTAATTTTGCATACTGAAACCAGACCAAACACAATTAGCGAAAACTGAAAAAGCTTTCTGAAACGCTCCAGAGTAGCACAATGTATTTGCAACACCGCAGTACACAAGATCTGCTTAACTTTGCCTGATGAAGCTACCGCTAACCAGGAGACAGAAGAGCTCATTTTCTACTGGCAATCAGACTTTTGATATGAATCAATACCTAATAAACATGTGAATAGGTGCTATTTGGTGTATAATTATAATAATAATAATAATATCAACTACAACAATAACAATAATAATACCACCACCACCACGACCTACCTTTATTTCTTTCAGATTAATGAGGAGAAAGTAATAAGATAATGGCTGAGGTTGGGAATTTTTAACAGAGCATGACATTAAAAAGAGAGTACGTTACCAACATGAAATCTTAACAGTAGAGAGGATAAAAAGAGAGGAAGATTGACACACAGTATGAAGATTAGATATCACTGCACTGAAATAGAATGAAAATGCCTCACATCTTTCAAAAGATCCCTCTCCTCATGTCCCATTTTTCTTCCAGTCATCTTTCTATACTTCATACTCACAGTCTCCTTTCTTCCTCTTTAAATTTCTCTCTCCCTCTTACAGAGGAGTCTTTCTTAGCATTACTGGCTGTTATGATTTAAAGGTTACCAGCCTGAAAGGGAAGGACAGGTGGTGTCTGTAGGACCCTGGGGGGTCAGAGAATCAGTACTGTTCCCTCCCCTTTCCTTCCACAGTCTATAAAAAACCAAGGAGGCCCGAGGTTTTCGCGGGCTTTTTCCTGGGCTGCTTTCTGTCGCATCTTGGGGCGGCTAGGGCTACCTCCACGTGCTCGGCAGCATCCACCACCACCCGCTTCCCCGCACCACTGCGGTCCCTGGTGACAAGTCACAGCGGTCACAGCAGCCACGAGGCACTGCTCAGACAATTCCACTCGGGACTACTGGGATCGGGTTTTGTATATAGTTAAATATCCTTTATCCCTTATTAATTCCCTTTTCCTTTCTCCTGTTGCTTTTTCATTAAACTTGTTACAGTCTTAACTTGCAACCTTGTGTGAAGCATCTTTTGCTCTATTCCCTTTTTTTAATCCTCCTCTGGGAGGGTAGGGGACAACAGAGAGAAAATGCTGCTCCCTCGGCTTGCCCTGAGCTTTAAATGGAAACACTGGTGATGCCACTCTCTGCCCAAGCTCTCTCTTTTCAAAACTTACTACCCCTTTTACCAGTCTAACACTAACAGAAATAAGTCTGAAAGAAAAGTCTAACTATTTTGCAGATACATCAGCACCACAGTGACTGCTGTTAGCCATCAGCTGCAGGAGTTGGAAGGAGGAAAACCAGGCAAAGAGCTTGGACAAAGTGATGGGAAACAGTTTTAAATTTGTCCCATGTCCAACACTCATTACCACCATCAGATGCCATCTATGTGCAAAAGGAAGAGACCATACACAGTATTGCGTGTAACAGTAATACATAATAATCACAGAATCACACAATATTAGGAGTTGGAAAGGACCTCAAAAGATCATCCAGTCCAAGCCTCCTGCCAGAGCAGGATCACATTCACTGTGGTGAAATTACTAACCTTATTTCTGAAACCTACTTTCCCTCTATTTGACTAGATAGCAAAAGAATATTCTTATGTTATTGGCTACTGATCATTAAACTAGCAGTAGGCATAACTACGTTTCAGCAGAGCTGGTGATACCTTACCCTAGACTTTCTCACTGTTACAAATTTTGCATTTCTTGAATGACAATTGTCTTAAAATCTCTACTATGTCTTAAATTTCTTTTTATTTCTTCCCTTTTATAACTACCATGGCTACCATGCTCAGGACAGAACATATCCACAGAAATCTCAGTTTCATTTCAGATTTGTGCACTACCAGGTCACTCAGCAGTAGACCTGCCCTGTGCTAGACACAGGCACATGATCACATTTCTGCCAGAGTCCAAAATGCACAGTATTTGCAGAAAAATCTGCCAATACAAAGTTAAAATTTCAAAACTTTGTAAATAAAATTAAACAAGCAGATTAATACGTTGTGAGGTGGGGCTGCTCCACTAGGAATCTTAAAGCTTGTTACAACACTTCTTCATGGAAACACTTGCCACAGTACCTTGCTGTATGCCAGTGCCTAACAGTAGCCATTAAATCCTCCATGCGACCTCTGCAGTTCTGTTAGTATGCTTTCCAGACAATCAAAAGGGTAAATAAGGTACTTGCTAAGTTACCCCAGTTTATAGACTTCCCAAAAACTGGATAAGCGATGGCTTTTTAATATCTGGTAACTTTAAAAACATACTGAACTTAATACCAGTTGGCACGAAATGGCAATAAATGCAACATAAAATATACAACATATTAAAAATATTTCTAAAAGATATAAGAAATTACAAAAAACCTGCACTGTAAACCTGCTTACATTAAACCACTCCTTGAAGAAGCTAGCTTGCTCCTTTTCTAGCAAGGTAACTTTCTAGATCTCCTTCGTAGTGAATGCTTTCATGTGTCATACTCATTACAAAAAACCTCTATATTATAGAACATCATCCTCTGAAAGCATCCCCCTCCTTAAGCACAGTAGGTTAGCTATTAAAACTCATTTTCCTTTTTAAGTCTTCAAAATGGCCCAGACAGATCTCTCCTCCTGAGACAATTTCCTATCTTTTCATGCTCTCTAGAAGATAGACTGGCCATTCCTCCAGGTGAGGTTTCACATTCTGGCTAAATCAACCAAAAAGGCCATTTCTGCTTCCTCTCATTAATCCCTGAGCAAGCCAACCTGTAAAGCTAAGTTCTCTGACCATTCTTCTCCCTAAACTGGCTTGTCAGATGTTCTCACAAGTGCAGCACATCACCAGGGATGGAGAGGGAGAGTTGGAGTGCTCCTTTTACCACCACCTAGCCAGCAGATTTGCACAGCTCTCATAGAATCATAGAATCACAGAATGGTTTAGGTTGGAAGGGACCTTAAAGATCACCAAGTCCAACACCACTGCCATGGGAAGGGACACCTCCCACTAGAC